TTTTTCCTGAACTTGAATTGTAGCCTGGTGCTTCCCTAATAAATCCCGTAACCTGTGAGTTCTGTGTGGCCACTGCAGCGAATTATCGAACCCAGGAGAGAGGTGGTGGGTTGGGAGGAGAAAGGGCTGGAGGAGGCAGCATGTCTGGCCTCGCAGGAATAGGCCTTGGGCTATTGATGGTGATTCTGTCTTCCTCTTGTGGGATTAGAGGAGGCCAGAAGATGTGGCCTCCCTGCCCTTTTTGCACCTGTCTAAGGCTCAATTTGTCCTTCTATAAAACGAGGATCTTAAACGTCAACTCTCTGGGCTGCTGTGAGGCCTCAATGCAGTTCTACAAGGTGCAGGTCTCGGCAGTGATATGCGTTACACAGGCGGACATAAGGGGGAAACGCTCCAGGCCTCCTACCTTCCTGAGGTTTGGTGTTTTTTCACCTGTACATTAATTCTCTCTATTCATCAGCTGTTGGCCACTTAATACTCCCCCAACTCTGCAGTGAGAACCCATTTCCTAAGACCCTGTGTCTGCCTGGCTCTTAGGAGTAAGTCCTTCCCATCCACATATGCATCAGTCAGTCCAGTGCCAGCAACGGACCTGGCTCCTAGTGCACCCTCAGGGAGCTCCGAGTGGCCCTCACAGCACCCCATGAGGGAGGCAGTGTCTGCCTCCCACTCCACTGCAGAGTGGAGGCCCCAGCCCACGTGGAGCAAGAACTGGGGCTCTTGCACAGGCAGCCTGACCCCACACACGTAAGTCTACCTGCTTCCTGTGCTGAGCCCTGCCCGGCCCTCCAAATTCCCCACATTCTTTTTCGCCTCCGCACATGTCCCTGCGCCCTCTGCCTGAGACACTCTCCCTCGCTCACTTGGCCTGTCTCCTTCCTCTCTTTCACGTCTTACCTCCTCTAAGAACTCCCTGACCCTCCCTGACTCTCCAGGCTGGGTCCAGTGCCCCTTAGGGCTCCCACAGCTCCCCAGGTTCTTCTGGCCCAGCCCTGCCCACTTTGGTTCATCACTGCCTGGTAACGTGTGTTTTCCTCACTGGATCGGACCCGGGTAGAGAGGAAATACAATGGTGAAGAGGATAGGAGTACGGGTTTCAGTTCAGCCAGCTCCTAGAGGGGTGACTTTGGGCTCATTAGATAAGCTCTGGGGCTCTGCATCCCTCTCTCTACA